GATTCCCTACCTCACCTTCCACGTTTGGAGGAATGGGTGATGTAACGAAGCTGAATTTGGGGTAAAATTTCCATGGAACAAAACTGGGTATATGTGAAGTGGGAAAGACGGATGAAAATAAACATTGAACAGCTCTCTAAATAGAGTTAGAAACAACTGAAATGCATATAATACATCCATAAAATATGTTTCATATAGAAACTTTATTCTGTCTCCAAAGATTCTGCCCCAGGGCTATCAAACTCCCAGCCCATGGGCCGGAAGCATCATGTGCTGGTCATGCCTACACCTGGTTTAGCAAAGTGGAAAAAAGTCCCGATACATCACGTGATGCAGTCATGACAGTGTGAGTTTGATATCCCTGCTGTACACTATGCTTGTTTTGATATGTGTTTTGATTGTTGGCCAACCTGCAATTTGTAATTTGCCACATACTTTCTAAACATTATTACATTTGCCTCACCAGTGTCACCTGCCAGTAGGTATGCGCTGGACTTCAGCAAAAGGACATTCTTGCGCACAAAGGAGTTCAAGGGGAGGTTAACCTGGCTTGAGAGTCCACCAGGGCAAGGCAGGAGAAGTGTGGAAGAAGACTTCATTTGCTTTAAAACAATAGCCACCCCCGGGGCAACTCAAGTCTAAAAGATGTCTCAGCTGTCTCCAGCTTATCTGATCCCACAACATCTTGGATGAAGACACAAGACAATCCAATTAAAAACTATATGTTCTCTAAAAACTTGAGTACCTAACCTTTAAGCCTTCAGTCACTTGAAAAATGGTGTGAGAATTGCTATAATTTGCCTAGTTTCTATTGTATTTATTCTATATCACATTTGCATAGCCATCCATCTTACCTAATGACTCTGGGGAGCATAGATAACAAAACAAAATGCATAAAAACCATTAAAGCTACAATTTAAAGTAAAAGGCAAGAGAAAAGAAAGGCGACAAAGTATACAGTGAGTGCCTCAGTGACCCACCATTACAAGCACCTAATGGGTTGAGCTCTATGATGGGATTCCCCAAGTTAGTTGGCAAAACCCTGTTTTGAAGGCCTTCAAGGTGAACAGGCTTGGGGCCAACCTCACAGGCTTGGGGCCAACCTCACTTCTGGGGAATGATCTTCCACAGAGTGGGGGCAAAGCTAGAGACAATTCATGCCATGATGACCCTGCTCCCCACTGAGGAATAGATATGACATTGTGTACAACTTCTGTCATTCAGAACTTCTTCACATTCACCAGTTATAACTGGTTAGGTTATAATTAGGTTCCTGCCCATGTGCAGTACAAGCACAGGAGTCTCAGCTGGGGACCTGAGAAGCAAGAGGAAGCCAAAAAAAACAATACAATTCCTTCATTTTTAAAACTAAGGACCGTTGTGCTTCAAAAACTTGAGCTTCCAAGTGGCGAGTTCAAAGTGCAGCACCTTTCCCAGCTTAGCATTGTCCAAAAGCAACAAAGGGAACAGGATTTGCATTCGGATAAAGGTGACCAAAGTGCCAATTCAGATGGGAGATGCATGGATGTAAGGGAGATTTAACATCTGAAGAAAGCCATGCACTCCCATGAATGTGAGCATTGGAGTTTTTTGGCTTCTGCAATATTTCCATTGCTTAGGCTACGGGAGCCCATAGGGAACAAAAGGGAGGGGCAAAAACAGGGCAATTCAGAACAGTGAGATGCCAACGGCATTCAGAACAGCGCTTCTGATTGAAAATCCAGGCCTCAAGAGGACATGGGAGCAGCAGCTGTATCAGAAAGCCACTGTGCAAAGAATTCAGACTAGCGGGAGGAGAAAATGTGAAGGGTATTTTCAGAACTACAGGAAATGTATAAATGCCATAGTATTTTCTATGTTTTTCTTATCTTTTTCTTTCTCTGTATAAACTCAAAATAATATGGCATGGAGATATCTTCTGTCAGTTGGAAAATACCAGCTATATTTTCATTTCTGAGATATATGCCAACACAGAGAGACACAAACTCATAACCTAAGCATACCAAGTTTCTCTGAATCTATTATTGATATTAGTTTTCCACTCCAAATTCATGGAAGCCTAGCCCTAACCCTAGGAGGATTTTCATCTCAATAGGATTTTCTCATTTATTTATCCAAGAAATGAAAATAAAGGGGGTTAGAAATGTTAAGAGCCTCTTAACCATAGCAAGCTCTCCAAACGCATTGGTGATATTTATTTTCCTCTCTGAATTCATAGACACCTAACCTGAAGGGGAGATATATTTGTATGAGCTGTCCTAGGCACAGTGTGCCACTAAGTATTTTTTTTTTTGAAGTTCATTTCCTGTTCCAAATTCATGGAACACACACACACACACACACACACACACACACACACACACGTTCTATAAAGTTCCATATGTACTAATGAGCTGTCCAAAACTTCAAAACAGATGGGATGAAATGAATGGCCAGTATCTCTCCTGTTATTTTCAATAAAGAGTGAACATTATTTGGATTTTTCTCTTATGTTTGTGATTTTGAAACAGCTAATTAACGTTACTCGTGGCAGTACAAATTTTTGCAATGCATCACATTTTTCACAAATGAGCTGTTTCTTCCAGTTCTTCTGATACTGCAAATCAAATCATGGGATTTTTTTGTTTACAAATTCTTTAATTACCCTTGTCCATCACATTTCAATCCAAATCTTGGGATAAATACTTAATGCTGTTACTACTTTGTACGTATCCTAATTTGTAGAGAATTTTGTTTTGTTATTCACAAAATAATTGTCAGATAAGTGTCAGATAAAAGTGAAACAGCTTATTTTTCAATTTTATGCGTATGCTTTTGAAGATAATTATGCTAAATCCATGTCAGAATATTATACAACATGCAACGTTTGCTAGCTTTTTCCTATTTGTCAAGTACTAATGAGCCAATAAAGAATCTTGCCTGCAGTTTTTATTTTAAAAATATATATAGATTTGGGGGATTATGTTTTAGCAGGACAAACCTGCTAATTTCTATGATATAATGCAAAAGCCATATGAAACAGTAAAATGAAACTGTTAAGAAATCTGGGTGTGACAGCAGTGCACCCTAGTGGTAAAATGTATCCAAAATGAAAATAGCAAAATATTATAATAATCCAGAGCCATGTTTCTTAAATGTTTTTCCCTTAGAACTCTTCCCACGTTTATAAATTACGGACAACCCCCAAAGAAGTTTTTATGGGTTATACGTATCAATATTTACTGTATTAAAAATTAAAATCTTTCAGTGCTGCTAGCATTTCTCACAATTGCTTGATGGGGCTTTAATAATATATGATTTTTCAACATAAGCTGGCAAATAATTTTTGTTTATGATAGAATAATTTTCGTTTGGGTGTGTGTGTTTATAAGTTTAAAAACATACACACTCTCCCACACTGGTGTCCAAAGAGAAACTATAAAGTATGCATAGTGTAAGATACCATCCTGTCTGGCCTCAAAGTCTTGTGGGAATCTGGGGAGATAGTTGTTGCCACTATGAAGTCCAACAAGATTGTTTGATAGAAGAGATCGAGGGCATGACTTCTCCCCTAGAATTTGGTGAGATGGGCAAAAACTGCCTAGAAGAAAGGCAGTCCTGCAAGGAGGAGGGAACAATGTGAAAACTATAGTACAGCCTAAAATATGCTTTTCAGAAAGAAAAGGGGAAAAAACCCTGAAAACTTAACTATGTTCCCCAATCCATCTATTTTCTGGCTTTCAAGAATGTTGTAAGAATACACTTGGACATCTAGTGTTCCTCACTGTATGTATTCTATGTCTCCAAATCTCATATACTTTCATATACTTTGGAATTGGTCACTCTTGCTGAGAGACTTCTATAAGCATAATACAGGTAGTCCTCAATGTATGACCACAATTGAGCCCAAAATTTATGTTTTTAAGTGAGACATTTGAGTTTGCTCCATTTTACGACTTTTCTTGCCACAGTTAAGGGAATCACTGCACTTGATTAGTAACATAGTTGTTAAGTGAATCTGGCTTCCCCATTGATTTTGTTGACAAAAGACTGCAAAAGGTGATCACAAGACCTTTGGACACAGCAACTGTTATAAGTTTGAACCAGTTGCCAAGTATCTGAATTTTGATCACATGATAATGGGGATGCGTCAAGGGTCATGTGAAAAATAGCCATGTTACTTTTTTCAGTGCTGTTGTAACTTTGAATGATCATTAAGTGAACTGTTGTAAGTCGAGGACTACCTGTAATAGCCTATTTACCAGTCAGTTTCCTACCACTAAAGCAGATTAAAGGATTAACAGAAGGCTCAACTTGAACTAGATCTTAACTTTTAGCCACAACTGCATTAAAACTTTATCTCTATTTACATGGGAACTTGCCTGGATATTAAGATCATCTCCACTGGATCACTTTAAAGAATTTGAAGCAGAAAATAGGAATAAATGGACAATTCTTGCAATGAAGCTGTAAATACAATACAGCCTTTCAAGAATCTGCACTGAGAATGTTATGAACATAACGATCATAAATGATGTGGAATTTTCAGTTTGAGGTGCGTTGTTTATTGATGGCACACCTCCTTCACATTCTATACAATTGAATTGAAGACCCGTTGTTGCCTTGCAGGATTAAATAAACCGCGATCGGGCGGGGGGGGGGGAGACTTTGATGTCACAATAAAAAAGCAAACTTTTATGCTATCACCAGGTTCTTTGTGGGATTTTTTGCAACATATTAACAGAGATGCCCCCACCCCCAGCCCACCCGTGACAAATCTTAAAGAACACGCGCCACTCTAAAAAGAGGAACGTCTGCCGAAGACGAAGCGACCACATTCCTGCAGCGACCCCTACGTTAGAAAGGCCCGCCGCTTTCCAAGGTTTGCAGAACATTTGGTCGAAATACCCCTCCCCGTTGACTGAAGGAGCCACGCGTTTGCCGGGAGTTTTTGGAGTCGCGCGCGAGAGAACGAGACTTCCATTCCGGCACCGGAGGACGTAGAGATCCATTTTGCGCAGGCGCGAGTTCATTTTCTCCCGCTGGAGTGGTTCGGCGTGGCGTGATGGCGGGTGAGGCATTAACTCTGGCTGGATCCAGTGCAATCCTTCGCGGAGTTTTGTTTCTAAGGGGATGCGGGCCCGAAGTGAGGACGGGGGATGGGGAGGGAAGAGAAGAGAGAGAGAGAGAAAGTGAATTGGCTCCGATGGCTCCGTCTGCCTCTTCGTTATTTTTTACGGTTCGAAGAGTTTCGCTTCTAGGAGCTGGAAACCTCGGCCACGCGGGCGTTTTCTGATGGTGGCATGATGCGTTCGGGGTGACAGATCTCGATTGCAAAGATCCCGACGGTCATTAGACGGCAGGAGTCAGAGACGGAATGGCCTTTGCTGCTGCTTCGTAGTCGCCCTGGAACGCGCAGGTCCGGTCCATAATAGCCCCCCTTGGTCTCCAAAAGCGAAATGGAGGGCAGACCTCTGTATTGATAAAATGCAAAGTTAAAGGTTTCTTTAACTTGAAAAAAAACGGTTTCACTGGTTATCTTTTCTGTAACTATGGACTTCCCTTTAACTGAAACCGGTATTGGGGAAACTATCATTCCTCAAAGCTTAAGGAACATGGTTTGTTTGTTTTTGAAGAAAAAGGGAGGAGGAGGATTGATTACACAGCATAGGTGACCGGCTTTTGTTCATCTTGGGAATAGTTTTATAATTTGTACACTTTTCTACATTAATATGTGGATTCTTCAGTTTAACTCTATCCTCACCCCCTTGTGTGATAAGACTAATTCCATAATTTCTATGTACCTGAAGGGAATTAATTTGGAAAAGCCTTGTTGAGGGTATCTGTGTTTCCCAGCATGTCTTGGGTATCTGTTCACAAGTATGAATAATATAATTTATTTCCTAACATTATAGCATTATCATACAACATGGAAACATCTCAAGTCTCTGTGGATTGGAAGACATAACTCCATCAGCTTGCATGCATGAGGTATGTTTAAAATTCACTAGGGGTCAGTATTAGGATTTCTTTGCTGCTCAAAAAAACAGATTGGGGTTGGTTTAGTAACTTTCATCAAAGTTATAAAAAACTGAGCTACTGATGATACAAAGTTATCCCTGTCTGAAAAGAGAAAGTTATTCTTTTTGTGGAATTGTGGATTCTGAAGCTCAGTCCTGGAAAATTTAAAAGCAAATGTTGTCAAAATAAAGCTGTCTCTGATAATATGTCTTAACTGATCCTCAGGTTGCATTTATTTGTCATGGGAGTCAACCCAGGCAGGAATGCAGGACTTAACTTCATTGTAAGCTCTAATCCCAAGAAAATCCTTTTGAAGAAAGGGGTGTTAGTGATGCATCTCTTCTGATCTACATTCCAAGGTAGGTGTGCGCTTGGATGCTCTTGAGGGCTGCAGTTATGAAAGTCGGACACTTAAAGCAAAGAATTGCCATTTTCAAATATTTGAAAAATGTGAGTGATGCTCCATGCTTCTGGTAAAAAAAAATCCAATGGCCAATTGCTCCAAACAAGATTTTCTTTTTGGCCTGACATGTAGAAGTCTAGTCTGAGCTCAGTGGACTTAACTCTGGTCAAGAGAACTCTTGAACTTTTCCACTTAGTCAGTTAGTTACCCAGTAACCTTTCCATTTGTAACACTTGGTAGTCCTTCTGAAGATAACAAATAGTGAAGTATTAATCAGAAGCAAGAAATAGTGTTTTATGTGAGCAAATGTGCTTGAATATTCTTTAAACACATCCAATGTGATGCATTCTTTTTGTTTGGAGAGTCAATAAGGTGTAGATATTACTTTGCTGCTTGAGGATTAAGAGCTCTTAATTTGCTCCTGAATTACACTTGCGTGATTTTGAGTGACTTACTGGCAGCTTGTTCGGGGCCATGTATTTTAGTCGTTAGTTGATCAAATAGAATTGAAGGTTTATACAATCCTTATAAAATCATGATTTGTAAACCAAGTAAGTTGGGTTTAAAAATTACATCGAGACAAAGCAAAAGGCATCCATTTGGGATTTCCTGGTCCCTCATGCAAATATAGGTAGTCCTCATTTAACAACCACTTGTTCAGTGAGTGTTCAAGGTTAACGATGTGCTGAATGAGTGGGACTTAACAACCCATGCTCATAGTCGCAGCAATTCCAGTGTCAGTGTGATCATGTGATTGTGATTCCGGCATTTGGCAACTGGCTTTGCGATTAATGATAAGCACGTGATCATCATTTTTAACATTCACTGCCAGTTTCCAACAAAGTCAAAAGAGTAAGCTGAAAGGAGTTCATAAATGGCAGTCGCGTAACTCAGAGACGCTGTAACTAAATGGAATTCACCCAATAGCAAGTGAACTTGCTGGAGTGGTTATAAATCTGGTCATGTGACATCCTGTTTTATGACCATCTGACTTAGGGAAGTTCCTGGCCCCAGGTACCGTTGGTAGATGTCCTCAGTTGTTTGTACAAAGTAAGTTGACCCTGCCTTAGTTTTTCCGAGATCAGCCAGTGTTAAGAATTCTTATTTCTCCAGCTGGATCTTCACTGCTTTTCAGTTCTCTTGATACTCATTCACTCAAGCCTGTGATGTGATGTTATCCCTGTCTGAAAATTCAGCTGTGAGGGAAAATTAATATCAGCTGAGGCTATCCACCAGGGAGTAGTGTTCTGTAGCAGTTGCTTTGCAAATGATTAAATTGACTTCTCAAGATAAACACAGCAATTATATTTTTTCCCTTTAGAACGATATCAGCATTTAAGGGTAATAAAAGCAGTCCAAACCACCTCTGAAATTTTTCCCTGGAAGCAGAGTTCCATGTATACCTGCTGGGAATGGGAGAGACAAGATTATACCTGGATGTGAGTAGCACTTTGACATGTTTCAAATATTAACTATGCTAAATTGTGGTTGACTAGCTTGAGGACCAGTGTCTTGTGCGATTCAAACAAATAATCCGGTTGTGGGGGTGAGCATGTGATGGTAATACAGGAATAATGTCATAAGATTATACATTACCATTTATTGAAATAAAGGAAGACATTTATACTTAGGGTCCTTCTATTCTACCTAATCCAGTGAAAATGTGGAATTAAATTCAGTAAGTAAGGTTTCAATTATCTGGGTGTCAGCAGCATCACTCTCTAAAACCAGAGCCAAGCCAAATTTGGCCTCTGGATGTGGCAGGCAAAAGAAAAATTGGATTTAACAGTAGATCCAGTCCAGCTAGGGTGTGTGGAGGAAACCAAATGCAACCTTACGGAAGAAATCATTGGAAGCAGCGGCTTGGACTGTTGCCAGCTCTTCCGTTCTAAGCCCTTCCCATCTTGGTCATGTGACCCAGAGAGGAACATAGGTTTCCCAGAGTATCTGTTTGCGCAAACATGTCATTTGATTACACAGAAATTCTCCATAGTTTTTCCTACCTTGGTAATTCGTTCCATCTCAAGGAGACATAGAAAACAAATGTAAAAGGTCTTTCAAGGCTCGGTCTGTTGGTTGAATAGTTCCAAAACAGGGCAGGATCACTTTAGGAGGGATAGTTGAAGCTGGCATCAGAAAAAAACTGGGAATGGGACAAATCTGGGCTAGATCTGTGAAGAAAAACATTCCTAAACCAAGTTTCCTCAATGTATCTCAGTGGCAATAGGGCAGTAGCTCAGAATGCCACTGGCCGCTCCAATTTATGTTGCTCTCGGTGTCAAATGATCAGGGTCAAAATACATGCTGCCAGTTCTGTGCTTCCCAACACACACATACAGGCAAACATAGCGGCAATATAAGGGGAGTACACATACATACCCAGAAGAAGTATTTAGGCAGCCATTTGACTCAGAGGAAGGCAATTACCTCAGTCTGAGGCCAGTTCAATATCATGACAATCTGCCAGTACTGAGCCCTCCAGAGAAAAGGAGCTTAGATGAAACAGACAAAGATGCTGCAATGCACCAGTCAGTCACAGACAATGATAACGATCCAGATTTTGAACTGGGTATGTCTGGTGAGCCTCATCTCATAGCACAGTCAAAATTAAATGATCTGGTCAGAGACTAGATTTGTCAAAACCGAAGCAGAACTACTAAGTTCAAGACTGCAAGGATGGTGTTTGCTATCTCCAGGTGCGATATACACTGAGACGCATTTGATTCAGATTCTTTTGTTGGTGTCTTTTTTCCAGCCATGGTGAAGAAGTGGGGAAAGGGTGAGGAACGCCTTTCTACCACCACAGCTTTTTTTTCTACCCTTCCAAAGAGGAAAAATTGAAAATAAAAACAAGGCAACTAAGGAATGAAGTTAACTCCCTAGGGTTCTCTAGAGGGAGGAGTATTTATTCTCTTTTGTTTTTAAAAGGAATGTTTTAAGAATGTTCCGTGTCTTTCTCTACTTTCCAAAAGTATAGGAAAAGAAGGCATGGTCACTTCCCACCCACCCGAAAAATCAAAAAGCCATTTCCTCAAGCTTTGTATGGAGTATTTTAAAAAATGCATGGCTGGGTGTGCTTCTAATGAATACATTTTCACAGCAAATGTTGTATAAGCAAATTCCATGTTTGATACACGTACCTTACAAGCACCATAATTGCTTTTGTTGCATTACCTGTGTTTTAAAGGCCACAGGCATTTTTCAAGACAAAAATGTAAGGGTTATGCCAGCAAATACAGCTGAACATTTCTTTAGTGTAGGTTCTTAATTTGTGATTCTGAGGTTTGACGATCCTCTGGAGATGAGACGCATTTGGGGTCTGCAAGATCACACGAAAGGGAAACTCCAGTACTAACTGTCCCGAAACTTTTGGCTTTCAAGATTTGATCAGCAACACTTGCCTTGATTTTATATTCCAGGACTGCAGCCTCTCTTTGCATTTTTGTAGTTAGCAGGGGTAGCTTGGTAGTGTTGCAGAGCATCCAGCCACACTGACTTGGTAGCATGTTCTCAGGTTGTCAGAGTGGGCGATGAGTGAAATTCATGTGTTAACTGTATTTTTTACCCCTTAATTTCTTACAGCTTAGGTATAAATTGCCTGTTTAAAGAAAAGCTCTGTGAATATGACTTTGGAGCGGATGACACCAGACATGCACCTGGAAGGCAAAATCGCAAAACTGTGTCTCACTTATTTTGGCCATGGTATCTGGGGGAATTCACTGAAGAAAGTAGTTATGCTTGGAAGAATTAAGAGGTAAAAGGAAATCAAGCCACCCAAGACCACTTGTTGGATACTATCAAGGCTGACACCAGCCAGACCATAAAATAACTCAAGGAAGCAGCCCAGGATTGGATGATGTGGGAGACCTGGCCCACAGAATCACCAAGAATTGAACACGATTGAATGGATAACATCATCATCAACAGATCTATAAGGCTTTAATATGTTTATTAAAAGGTTTAGGGAAAGCTGTTTTTTATGACTAGAATACAGCAGGATACATTTCAGCAATATTTGTTGGTTTTAAAATGCCTGACTCCTTTTCTCTTATTGAAAAAAGGTTTCAAGTCTTTAAGCTAGCTGGAGGCCATTAAAAGATTACACAAGATCTCTCTTGTCCTGTAGTTTGTTACCAATCAGGTCCATCAAGGAAGCCCTCAAGCTCGGCCCACTTCATGTTCTCAGATAACTAGGATTCAAGAGATGCGCTGCCCCTGACCTAGAGGTGAGATAGCCAAGTGAATTAGTGTCACATCCCATTGTTCAGTGTTTTACATAATTAATTGTAGGAGATGGCCATTCTTTCAATAATTCCTTTATTCAGTGCTTGCCATCCATAGGCAGAAAGAATCTGGGCCCTATTTTGCAATGCAATTCTGGAGCACACTGGGCATTAGCCATGTTGATGTTGCTACTCAACTCTACAGCACAGCTTTTCATAAAACAACAGATGTGTCTGCTATTCTACCTAAGCTTTCTGCAAGTTGAATATTTTTGTATTACAGACTGGAGGGGGCAATGAATTATTACTTTCATGAACCAAGGTTGGAACCAGTAATTTTCTCAGTGAAGACTCAGTCTTGTTAGACAATGCCTGAGGGTCTTCCAGACAAGCTTGAGAGCCTTGTGTTTGTGATAATGAGGGCAGTGGCTATGGTATTCTGTGCTGGCTTGAAAGTGCTCTCTTATTGCTTGCTCTTATCTTAGTAGCAGGACTCGCAGAAACAGCTAATGGGCAGGACTGAGTGCCTTTTCTGAGTAGGGTCTGCTCATTCTTTTTACAATAATGAGTGGAAAACAAGTTTTTCTCCTCTTTTCTTCAGCTAGGCCTTTTTTATTTAATTCAGTCAGAAGGACAATTTTCTTCTATTCTCTCCCACCCTCCACCCCATGAAAAGAAAAGCACAAAGATCATTCAACATTTATGCAATTATACAAAGTGGGGAAATGTTTCAGGTTACATCTACCTATTCCCCTTATGTGCTTGCAACCCTGTGCCACTAAGCCATTACTTTTCAGCAGAACAAAGACGTGATTCTGATCTTCTCATTTGCTGTTTACACTTCTCTAACCAAACACCAGCGTGAGGTGTTTGCAAGGTTACTTGTGTCAACAATACCCTTTTCTTTTGCTTCTTGGAACCTAGTGGTTGTTTAATTAGCTAGAGAAGAAATGTTGGCCCATGAGGACAACCGCTAGGTTCCAAAAAGAACAGTGAGAACAAAAGAAAGATTACAGTTGTTTGTTGTATCACAATTATTGGCAATTTGCAATCCCAGCATCCCAATCGCTCATGCGACCTTGGGTCTCCAATTGAGATTGTGTGAAATTGGCAACAGTATTTATTGCCATTTCATGGCAAGGAACATGACTACAGGCAAAAGACACAATCCAAACTCCTGCCAAAAATTTAGAAAATGTAAATCCTAGTCTTGTTAGCAATTCTCATGAGGTGGTTAAGTGCATTATAAGCAGGGCCCCCAACTCCCGCTGTTGGGAACTGGGCTGTGCATGCGGGAGCATGTGAATCTTCATTTGTACTTGGGTGGGATTACATTACATGTATGAAACTATTCCCTCCACTGCCAATATGGAGCCAAAAAGGTTGGGAACAGCTGCATTATAGTATTCCAGAACTGAGCTAGTTGACCCAGCCAACTGACCCTGTCAGACCTGGTCTAAGACAGTAACCCTAGTCAGCCAGCTCCTTCCTACTGTGATCTCCCTTTGAGGGTTCCTATTGGGCTTTCAAAGATTTCCATCTGAGATGGGAGTCCTAGACTGGTCTTATTTTCACCCCTATGAGTGCAAGAAGTGATACGCTGGAACTTGTGTTGTGATGGGCAGTAGGAATAATATTGAGGAATAGGAGAAAAAGCCACTGCCAAGGCCAGTCAGATAAATGAACTCTTGAGTTTAGGGCAGAAAAGTAATTTAAGAAAGTATCTTAGACAACTCTGGTTCTCATTAAGGAGGAATGGGGAGGCACTTCCAGACTTGCAAGATTCTATTACTGTAACCTTATAACACCGTACTAATACAGACATTCCTAACACAGATCAGCTGAAGGGCTGATAGGTGCCAACCTCCAAAGTAAGGAAAAATTAAAGACCAGAAAAGTGAGAAACTTCCGACTTTCTTTACAATATCTGGTAGGGCTAGTTATAATAGCCATTGGCAGAGGGCTAAGATAGCCCTACTCTGGTGCTGCCATCTAAAAAGGCAAGTAGGTTGCTTGGAACAAAGGATAACTAACAGGCCATATTGTGAAAATAACCATGTGCCACAGTCCCACAATGCTTTGCTGTAATACTCTGCCTCCTGATCCTTTAGTCTCTTTGTTTATCCGTTTTTTCTTCCTTGTGTTTTCTCCCAAATGCAGGGTCAATTTTTTTATTTTTAAGATCATTGAGTGTTGATCCATTGATTATGACAGGG